GGGGGGGGGGGGGGGGGGGGGGGGGGGGGGGGGGGGGGGGGGGGGGGGGGGGGGGGCAAGGCGAGCCGTAGGGGCGGGGAAGCCTTTCCCCCTGCTCCCCCTCCCCCGCCCCCCGGGCCGGTCGATCGCCCGAGGGCCATGTGAAAATGGCCAACTTCAGCGGGAATTCCCCAGGGAGAGAGGGCCGCCGGCCGGCGCGCCGGCTGCCACGCCTTCGAGCCCGAATGGGAGGGATGCTCATGGGTGTGTGAATGTGAGCGGGGCACGAGGCAACGAGGGCGAGATATGCCTGCCTCGCGCTGGGTATCGGAACACAGGGCAGCCTCATGCGCGCCTGGATGTTTATCGGGCCGCGCGCATGTCGATGCGCGGGCGTGTGTCGCCGGTGTGTGTTTGCGCGACGAGCGCCCGGGTTGGATTGTGGGCTCAGCAACGTCCCCGCTCGACGGCCACAAATACACCGGAGCCGGGGGAAGAACAGGAACAAGAGGGCCTCCCACCCTTTTGGGACATCCGACCGGGCAAATGCCCATGCATGGGCAGTTGCTCCGATAATTCCCCGGGTTGACATGTCCCCGCGGGTCTCAAGCGGCGTTCGACATCTGCCGGTCGGGCGTACGCCGGTGTGCCCCGGGCGCCCTCCTCCTGGCCGGGGGGTCCAAGCTCTTGGGATGCTGCTGGGCGGCTCGCGCCCTCGCACCTTCTGCGGGGTGGCTCTTTCTCCTGTGCGTGTGTGTGTATGTTGGGAGGGCGGGGACAAGGGGACACCCATCTTCGTGCAGGATGTGTGTGTGGGGGGGGGGGGATCAATGGTCAGGCGCGGGCGCGTCGGGAGGCCGGAGGCGCATGAGCGCGCCGAAATGCATGTCCCCTGCGCGCCTGCACACACACGTATGAGCGAGAAAAGGTGTCAGGCCCCGGAGCCGCTCACTTGGCCCCGGGCAACGGGCTACATCGGCCACTAGCCTTCTAGCCAGCAAGGGCCCTGACCCGGGTCGGGGACCATAGCCAGGCAAACATACCGAGGCATACCGACCTGGTTCCGCCTCTCCCGCCGCGTGCTTGGGCGCCCGCGCCCCCGGCCGGCAGCCGCAGGGCGTTTTGTGAGTGACCTCCGACCCGGGGGGGGGGGG